CGTACATAAACATTTTATAAAGATATATTGTAAATTTAATTTTTTTCAGCAGTGGCTTACCTGCCATGTATAGTCTTTAAGATGCAAATTAAGTTATTCCTTCAAGCTCAAATCCTAAATGTCTAAATTATTTCATATCATCCAAATGTTTTAACAAAACTTGACTTTGCAAACAAGGTTGTCATCGTTCAAATTCATCGATGTTCATTTAAGATACTATTAGAACACTCATGAATAAAAAGTTTTAAAAAAAGCCAATATAATAGGCATACATGATTTCTTCTTCCAAATAATGGCCACATCCAACATGATGATTTAATTATTTGAAAGGATTTATGTAGGGCGTTAACAATAAGGTCATTAGGAAGGTCAAAAACAACTAATTTGATTGGCCGTTTAAAGAAAGTCAAACCGGATAAGAAGAATTATAATGTTTATGACGTGCTTCTTTCGCTTTTTTATCAACTGCGTAATAAAAATCTCGATATATTTATATTTAGCGCAGATTCTGAGATGTACATATCAATAGCTGTTACTATAGTTACCTCCAAAGTAAATCCAAATGTAATGTAATTTATGTGCAGACACTATGTGGATTTTGTTGTGTTCAAATTGAAGTTGAAAAAGAAACTAAAGAACCATTATTCTAATGCATAACACAACGAATGCATATATGTTCTAAAAAACATGTATGAAATAAAAATAATAAAATCCACGAAATTTAATAAATGATCATGGCGTTCAAAACATACCATCATGCGAATGAATTCTCTCAAGCTGAATATTATTCCGTTACGGGTACGCTCTAAATTCGGATAATATCGCATTACAATGGAGTTTTGAGGTAGATGTTGTTTCATTTTCTATTATATTGCACCATTCGCGCAATCATGGATTTCAGCAAATCAACATGGCGCTTCATTCCTAAGTTACGATATGTCAACTGTGGATTTAACAGTAAATAGTAGCCAATGGAAAAAAAAAAATGTTTGGGTTAAGAATTATAAAGATTGAATATATTTTCAAGTGGATAATATAGAGAAATAATTCATGCAAATGTAAACCTTAGATTTATTTGGAATTTGTTGGGTTTATCTTACAGGGGAAAAACAAGCCATACATACGCCAATCTTAACTTCGCTTCAGTTTTTTCTTCTTCAAATTTTCAACTTTTTGTCATATTAAAATTCAAATAATTCATGCAAGCCATATTTTGTTATCATCCCGGGCCATGTGAAAATTTCCAGCAAATGGGATGACCTCATCTGTTGCTGTTCAAAAGGGATGCAGCTCCTGCGCCGCTAGACACATGCCATGCTGGTAATCGTACGTTTGAACTCGGCGATGTCTAATAATTGATAGACAGCAACATGAGTATGCAAATCTAAATACTAGTTTTTCAAAACTATCCGTCTACTTTTTAAAAGAGAAGCAGACAGTGGTAGTGCTAAAAATACAGAAATAATACAAGCGTTTATGCAAAAAAAAAAATAAAAAAAAAATAAACATCATAATCGATGGATCTGAAAACACACTAAACGGTAAAGTATGGTTAAACGAAGCTTGGTACTTATTTCTAGTAATTTGTAATTCGAAGTTTATAAGAAAAAGAAAAAAATGCTACAAATCTCTATATATATATATATATATATGGCCGACATATTTCAGAATATATAAACAGACAGGAATATTGTAAGAGTGATGAACGTGGAAATGCATCACACGATGTAGTAATGTGTATATGCAGCTTGAAGTCAAATTTCTGGAAACTCATTTGTACGTGGTTTATGAAAAAAGCATCGAATATTTCTTATGACTAAGGGACGTATAAACCCCACTCCTCAACTGCGATGCATTCCTTTTGTGTGTCGTTAAGGAAATGAATTATTATTCATATGATACTCTAAACGAAATGCATGAGCGAACATTCTTATTATATTGAAAGGGGCCTCGGTGGTAGTTCTACTACTGTAATCACTAGCCAGTCAACACTGAGCTTGTGAGTTCGAACCCCGCTCGTGCAGGTGCACTCGACTCCAATCTTAATTGACCAGGATTGTCAGTTTCCTATCGAAGGTTGGTGGTTTTCTCCGGGAACTCCGGCTTTCTCCGCCAATAAAAACTATCCGCCACGAAATAGCCAAAATGAGTTGCTTAAAAGTGGCGTTAAAACACCAACAATCAATCAATCAATATTATATTAATATAAGTTACATGTCCAACACCCCTGAAGAAAAACATACAAATCGGTCATAGGCAGTTAGTTCCATTGACACTTGATGGACACATGTAGAAAGATCAGAGTGAAAATGCACACTTTGCGACAGATCAGGGATAGGAGACGAATATCATTATATTTTAGAATGTCCTGCACTGAAAAACGAAAGGAAATTGTATTTACCCTTATATTTTTCATGTCACTCAAATGTATTAAAATTTGAGAACCTTTCTATTATTCTATTACTTGTATATTAACTATAGGGGAAATTTTACAAAAACTACTGAAAAACTGTCTAAAAAAGGTATTGAAGTTTTATTTTTATTGAGAAAATATATGTTCAATTTTAATTTTGTTCCCACTAATTTGTCATGTAAATTATTTGATACTCTTATAAGACCTATTTTGACATACAACTCTGAAATTTGGTTTATGGATAATTTTCAGTCAGCTTTTAGGGCATCTAATAGAGCTGATGTAAATAATACTTTTTGTGATACTCTTGCATTAGCAGAAAAATATCCTTTTGAGAAGATTCATTCTAAATTTTGTAAAGCAGTATTAGGATTGAAAAAGACAGCCACTAACATAGGTGCTAGATCAGAATTATGTAGATTTTCTTTGGACTCTTATATAAAAACTCAAACACTCATGTATTTTTATAGAATAAACTGTAATGATATTAATCCCCTGGTTAAAGAATCTCTACAAACAAACATAAATTTACATTCCGCAGGAATTTATTCTTGGTACTCATTTGCAGATAAAACTTTTAAAGATATGAAAATAAACCCAGGAAATTACTCTAATATTAATGTACCTTTTAAACAATCAAAAAACGTGTTAAAATGTAATATTAAAAAGTGTGTTTCAGAGGAATATGAAAAAACTACTTTTAATAAACTTTCAAAATTGGATTCCTCATCCAAACTTTGTCTCTATGGGAAATTAAAAACTAATTGTCAGTCTGAGGAATATTTAAATTGTAATAATTTTATACATAGGCAGTTTCTCTCAAAATTTAGACTCAGTGATCATTCCCTAGGCATTGAATTGGGAAGGTACAGAAACATTCAAAGAGCACAAAGATTATGTAAAAAATGTGGAGTCCTAGATGACGAATTTCATTTCTTTTTGTATTGTAACATTAACATATCATTGCGTTCCAATTTTTTTGCTTATCTAAAAGTTTATGTACCATTATTTCAACATCTTGATGCATTTAATAAACTAAAACACATTCTAAACCCCATCCCTGAACTTGTTTGTCATATTGGAGTCTTTATTAAGCAGTCTTTAGAACTGAGGGGGTCAGACCCATGTCAGACAAGCTTATGATTGTGTTTTTTACATGAATTTAAAATTGAACTCTTAAAATATGTTCTATTATATTGTATTGTATTACATTGTATTGCATTGTATTTAAAATGTATAATTGTTTGTATTACTTGACCCTTATGGGTGTAATTTTGCAATAAAGATTATATTACATCATTTTTGCATATCATTTTCTGTACCTTTATTATGAGTAATACTTTTATAAGTAACAGTTTTCGTTTAGCTTCTTATGAATTGGATTGATTTTTTTATGACTCCAAAATTAATAGTTATCCAAATATAACAGACGCCTGTGAATGTACTTTGACACAATCGTGATTTTTTTGCAATATTTATTCAGTCGATTTCAATGTTTTAAATGATAAAAGCACCTGCGACTTGTGTCATTTAAAATTATACACACAAAAATTCTGGGCAGTCATGAACGTTCCAGTATATAAATGTACAGTTACAATAAAAGTTTACGATAAGTTTTGTTGTCAAAAGAGCCTCACGGTTATATAGTGAACTTATAGTTTTGAGATATATCAAATACATTGAATATCCTTTTTTCTCGGTCTTTCTTCGAATTCTCAGTCAATACATATTGTTAAAAGTTCAAAAAAATCTCTTAAAATTATTGGCACAACTGTATTCGTCATTTTGATATTCACAAAACTTTCTTTTTGATTTTAAACGCATTTTAATTCCGGAGATAAAAAATGACTTTTGTGTAGTAATTGTTAACTATGCGATGAAATAAAATCTTTCTAGAAGTAAGTTTAAATGCACTTGTTTTTTTTTCTTTTGTCTTGTAACGTTTTGGCTTCATGAATTCAAAATGTCTGCCTTTCGTGTATCATTGGTCCGCTTTAAAGTAGAAAAGTTCCAATTTTTCCTAAAAGAAACAAAATATTTATAATTTATACCATGCCATGATCTATGCTCCAATGATGTGAATTATATTTGTCAGCATTTTACACCTCGCTTGGTTTAAAAAAACATCACAAATTTAATGACTCTCCATATTAAAATGAGCATAGTAGCGGAAGAATCAGTTAATTAAAAAAGACATCCATTTCCCCGCTCATTCCTCAATGTTAAGTTTTCATCCTCAACGTAATACAAGGTCTGGATGGGGGCCTCTTCATTTCAATAAATCCTTTTATTTTATTTTTTCGTCGTTAAAAATAACGCATATTCAGTTATAAATCGTGAACATTATTTGCCTGTTATATACGTTTCTTAATTTCAGTAATCAGTCGGTATTGTATGATCAACTACTTTTTTTTAAATCTACACAGACATTCGTTAACTCTTTTCTGTTATTTTTAAATGTCATTTTCTATTCATTTTTTGCTTGACCATTATTCCCAATTTTTGTTATCCCTATGCAGACCCTCAAAATATACCTGGATTTTCTTATCTATAAATAACCATAAATAACATTTATTTATAACTTGATGGGATTGTAATGGCGACGGGATTGCCGTCGTACACAAGTTTCCTAAACTGGGAACGGTAATGTTACTGTATTTTGAGACTGGTATATTAGATCATCATAGTCGTTAAACAATATATTTAATTGTATTACATAATTTTTTCTGTTGTATTAGTGAAAATTAAAATGTCTCGTTTCCTTGATAATGCTATTTTTAATATGGAAAGCCAGTTTAACACAACATTTTCGATTAATTTCGTCTCGTGTAAGGCAGCGACATGTCTGATGATCTATATTAGTAAAACTGTATAATAGTCCCCGTGTAAATGTAGTTTATTTGGCCTTTTATTTAGATTCCTGGGCAAGCGGTTTAACTTAATTTTATAATATAAATATACAATATTCGAACAGTGAAGGAATCAGTGGAGCTTTAGAGACAGCTAGAGAAAAGCGAGGCTCGCCGAGCTTTTTTCCTGTTTCGTTGCAAGTACAAATACATTTTATATTCTCCAAATAATTATTTGAAGTTTTGAAAAAAGTTTTTGTATAATTGTTAGATAACAACTAGAGATTTTTTTTTTCATTTGTCAATTATTATACCTATATTGAAGATGGAGTTAGTGTTTTTACAGTTACTTCGACTACTGTCCAGATAATCATGACGGATGCTGAGAAAAAAATTCAATTGTGTGATTTTTTTGTATCCCTCATACACTTATGTACCTGCAGTCTGAAGTTACTTATTTTTTTTAGACATCGATAAATTTGTCAAACCTTCATGGAATATTGGGAAACTTGGAGAGGATTATCGTTCAACGGTTAGGGTTAAAAGAAGTATCGAATAATATGCGTCATACCTTGAAGTGCCGGGATGCCTTTTTGTTACATATTTCCGTCTTTCATATGCCGTTTGTTCTCAATTTCATGGTTCAGTGACTGCTTGAAAAATATTGTATCTCTTTTTATGTGAAATATTCACTTAGTATGAGTTATTGGATAACTTTATTTTGTGTATATGTTGTGTACAAGTTGTAATGTTGTACAAATTATAATTTGTACAGATTTTTTGTTCAAATTATCAGTGTTTTATGAACCGCTGAACACAAATAGATGATGCAAGCTAGCACACAGTCTTTTGTTTCGAATATTTCTGTCATATTTTCAAAACAACATGATACCGTCTAATACTGAGCATTGATACAATAAACGTTATAAGACCACAAAAAGACTTTTTATGTATATGATTTTGTTATAAGGGCAAAAATAAAATTAGAATTTAAACCATTCAGGTATCCTCATTTCCAGTTTGAGGACAAGGAGAATAGCACTAAATTTTAGGTTGAAGTATATAAATTTGATTTTAAAACATTTGACTGATACATTAAGAAGACAAACCTTCATCACCTGGTACAAGAAAGTATGTGTCAGAACACATATAACTTGTACAAACACCCTGTACAAATTATAATTTGTAAAAACTTACATCTTGTACCCCCTTTATGGGATCCTTGCAAGGTCTACATGTCTGCCAGACGGGGTTCATGACCTGACATCGACCTCATTTCACGGATCAGTGATCAAGGTTACGTTTGATGGTCAAGTCCGTATCTCAGGTACTATAAGTAATCATAAGGTCAACTATACATTGTGTATGGAATGATCGTAAGGCCGTGTACCTGTCTGACTTGCAGGCACTTCATTTTCATGGTTCATTGATCAATGTTAAGATTTTATGCTTGTGTATGTTAATCAAATACTATAAGCAATCGACCAACTTTATTTTATGTTTGGAATATTTGTAAGGTATATTTGTCTGTCTAGCAGGGTATAACTGACCTTGACCTCGTTTTCATGATTCCTTATTGAATGCTAAGATTCCATGGTTATATCTGTTTCTCATACGCTAAAGGCATGCCGCAATACGTTCATTTATAATTAGTGTATTGAATGAGTGCATGGTGAACATGTTGTCTGACAGATTTCATCTGAAATTGACCTTATTTATGACTCTTTGGTCAATGTTTAATGTTCGTAATAAGTTTGTTTCGCGGTAATGGCCGTTGGCTTACTATTGCTGGTGCCTGGTGTGGTAGTAATTGTGTTCATGACTGTATGGCAGGGGTCATTCATCTGACCATTATCTCATTTACTCTGTCTGGCAGGGGTCATCTGACCATGACCTTATTTGCATGGATCATCGATAATTTTAAGTCTATGAAATACTTGTACCATTATGGATAAATGTATTATGTTTTGCATCTGGGATAGCCAATAGTTACGATCCATTCCCCTCCTCTGTGTAGTGGAGGAGAGGAGGAGAATGGATCGTAACCCTTGGCTAGCGAAGATGTATGTTATGATAACAATTGAATTTCTTACAGGCAAATGCATACTGTAATGTGAGCTGGTGTACACAAGTTATATCATGGCAGATGATGACGTAGCTGCTGTCGTAATCGACAACGGTTCTTATAAAATCAAGGCGGGGTTTGCCGGAGATGATTGCCATAGATCTGTTTTCTCGACCGTAGTTGGACGACCTGGTCGCCCAGCATATCAGGTTTTTATACGACCGCAAAAATTTTTGCGGTCGTATATTGGTATGACGTTGGCGTCGTCGTCGTCGTCGTCGTCGTCGTCTGGCGTCGTCCGGCGTCGTCCGAAGACACTTTGGTTTTCGCACTCTAACTTTAGTTTAAGTGAATGGATCTCTATGACATTTTACCATAAGGTTCAATACCACAAAAGAAAGGTTGGGATTGATTTTGGGGGTTATGGTACCAACAGTTAAGGAATTAGGGGCCAAAAAGGGGCCAAAAATAAGCATTTTTGTAACTTCCAGACATAACTTGTGTGTTAGTGTATGGATCTCTCTGACATTGTACCACAAGGTTCCATATCACGAAGGGAATGCTGGGATTGATTTTGGGGGTAATTTCCTCAAAATATTAGGAATTAGGGGCAAAAAAAGGGGCAAAAAACAAGCATTTTTCTAGTTTCATGACAATAACTTGTGTGAAAGTGTATGGATCTTTCTGAAATTGTACTACAAGGTTCCATATCACAAAGGGAAAGCTGGAATTGAGTTTGGGGGTAATTGCCCGAAACGTTTAGGAAGAAGGGGCCAAAAAGGGGCCAAAAATAAGCATTTTTCCAGTTTTCAGACAATAACTTGTGTTCAAGTGTATGGATCTCTCTGAAATTGTACCACAAGGTTCCATATCACACAGGGAATGCTGGGATTGATTTTGGGGGTAATTGCCTCAAAATTTTAGGAATTAGGGGCCAAAAAAGGGGCAAAAAAACAAGCATTTTTCTAGTTTCATGACAATAACTTGTGTGTAAGTGTATGGATATTTCTGAAATTGTACTACAAGGTTCCATATCACAAAGGGATAGCTAGAATTGAGTTTGGGGGTAATTGCCCGAAACGTTTAGGAATTGGGGGCCAAAAAGGGGCCAAAAAACACATTTTTCTAGTTTCCAGACAATAACTTGTGTTCAAGTGTATGGATCTCTCTGAAATTGTACTGCAAGGTACCATACCACAAAGGGAAGGCTGAGATTGAGTTTGGGGGTGATGAATCATAAGGGGGTTCAAAAAATTTGGGGGGGGGGGGGTTCCTTTTTTTTCTTTTTTTCCTTTTTTTTTTCTTTTAAAATTTTCTATTTTAAGTTGGTTATTTCTGATTTATATTTAAAAGCAAATAATAATGATCTGGTAGGAGGTACACACCAAACAGGATGTGTAAATTATTATATAATAAGTATTGTGCAATAGCAAGAAATTTTCAATTGCACAGTATTGCGCAATAGCAAGAAATCTTCAATTGCACAGTATTGCGCAATAGCAAGAAATATCCAATAGCACAATATTGCGCAATAGCAAGAAATTGTCAATTGTGCAGTATTGCGCAATAGCAAGAAATATTCAATTGCACAGTATTGTGCAAAAGATGATACTTCGTATAAATTTCTTATTTCTTTACCAATTTCAATGGGGTTTTATTCTTGAATTCTTGGGGTTCTTTAATTTGCTGAATCTAACCGTGTATTAAGTTTTTGGATTTTGGGCCCCGTTCTTAAATTGGTCCACATTGAGGTCCAAAGGGTCCAAAATTCAACTTTGTTTGATTTCATCAAAAATTAAATTATTGGGGTTCTTTGATATGCCGAATCTAACCGTGTATTTAGATTCTTAATTTTTGGTTCCGTTTTCAAATTGGTCTACATTAAGGTCCAAAGGGTCCAAAATTAAACTAAGTTTGATTTTAACAAAAATTGAATTCTTAGGGTTCTTTGATATGCTGAATCTAAACATGTATTTAGATTTTTGATTATGGGCCCAGTTTTCAAGTTGGTCCAAATCGGGGTCCAAAATTAAACTTTGTTTGATTTCAACAAAAATTGAATATATGGGGTTCTTTGATATGCTGAATCTAACCATGTATTTAGATTTTTGATTTTTGGGCCCCGTTATCAACTTTGTCCACATTGAGGTCAAAAGGGTCCAAAATTAAACTTTGTTTGATTTCATCAAAAATTGAATTCTTGGGGTTCTTTGATATGCTGAATTTAACCATGTATTTAGATTTTGGATATTGGACCATTATAGGTGAATGTCCAATTTAAAATTTTTAAGTTCTTAGATCACATTCATTCTGTGTTAGAAACCTATGCTGTGTCAAATATTTAATCACAATCCAAATTCAGAGCTGTATCAAGCTTGAATGTTGTGTCCATACTTGCCCCAACTGTTCAGGGTTCGACCTCTGCGGTCGTATCAAGCTGCGCCCTGCGGAGCATTTTATTCATTTTTAAAATGACTTTACTTAGATTAATGGAAATTTAATCAGCGTTCTTTTAAACGTTAGCCCTGAAAATTCAATATTTATTTTATATATAACTCACGATTATTGATAAAGTGTTGTGTTTTTAAACACAGAAATGCTAGTTTTTTATTTTGCCTTCTTTTTTCAAATTTAAACAATACTTCATATTAATATTATTTTATTTTGTAATTGTATTTAAGAATGTGTTTTCTTCCGTGCATGAGCATTATAATAACCATTTATTACTGGATATATTTTTTTACCACCGCAAAAATTTTTTTGGGATCGTTTAATAGTATGATGTCGTCGTCTGCGTCGTCTGCATCGTCGTCCGAAGATACATTGGTTTCCGGACAATAACTTTAGTTTAAGTGAATGGATATCTATGAAATTTTTTAAGAAGGCTCAATACCACAAAAGGAAAGCTGGGATTGATTTTGGGGATAATGGTCCCAACCGTTTAGGCATTAGGGGCCCAAAACAAGCATTTTTCTAGTTTCAAAATAATAACTTGTGTATAAGTATTTCGATTGCTCTGAAATTGTACCACAATGTTTGATACCACAAGTAGAAGGTTGGGATTCATATAAGGGGTTATGGGTACAACAGTTTAGGAATTAAGGGCCTAAAAGGGACCAAAAACAACAATTGTTGTAGTTTCCGGGCAATAACTTGTGTGTAAGTGTATGGATCTCTCTGACATTGTACCACAAGATTCCATATCACAAAGGGAAGGCTGGGATTGAGTTTGGGATAATTGCCCCTAACATGTAGGAATAAGGGGAAAAAGGGCATTTTTCTAGTTTCCAAACAATTACTTGTTTAAGTGTATTGATCTCTCTGAAATTGTACTCCAAGGTTCCATATTACAAAGGAAAGAATTGGATTGAGTCTTGGGGTAATTGCTGCAAGGGGGGGGGGGGGGGGGGTTCCAAAAGTTTTGGGGGGGATTTTTTCCAATTTTTTAAGGAATTCATATTTTTTTCAAAAATTTTCAAATTTCAAATTTTTGTAAAGTTTCAAGGAAATCTTCAATTGCACAGTATTGCGCAATAGATTTGTAAGTTCTTCAACCACATTTATTTTGTGTCAGAAACCTATATAATGTCAAAAATTTGATCACAATCAAAATTCAGACAGTATCATTCAAGCTTGAATATTGTATCCAAATTTGCCCCATCTATTCAGGGTTCGACCTCTGCTGTCGTATCAAGCTGCACTCAGAGAAGCATTTTATTAAATTGTAATCTACTATCAGCAACACAAGACGGGTGCCAATAGTTGGGTAGGATCCTGAATTGCTTTCCCGTCTTTGAGCACCAGATTCAACTTACATCATGCTCTTTCATAAATTTGTGAAGGTTTTTATGCCCCCGCCGTAGCGGAGGGGGCATTAAGTTTTACCCTTGTCCGTCTATACGTCCGTCCGTCCGTCCGTCCGTACGTCCCAAAATTGGTTTCCGTTCTCTAACTTTAGTTTGCCTCAACCAAATGTTATGAAACTTATACACAATGCTTATTACCACATAACACAGATCAAGTTTGAATTTTGGTGGCGTCACTTATACCGTTCTAGAGTTATGCCCATTTACAAATGCAAAAAATGGCTTAATTTTTCGTTTCCGTTCTTTAACTAAAGTTTGCCTCAATCAAATGTTATGAAACTTATACACAATGCTTATTACCACTAAATACAGATCAAGTCTGAATTTTGGTAGCGTCCCTCTCACTGTTCTAGAGTTATGCCCCTTTATAAATGGAAAAATTGCAAAATGTTTAGTTTCTGTTCTGTTTCTTAAGTTTGCCTCAACCAAATGTTATGAAACTTATACACAATGCTAATTACCACCAAACACAGATCAAGTTTGAATTTTGGTGGCGTCACTCAAACCGTTCTAGAGTTATGCCCCTTTATAATGGAAAAATTGCTAATTTTTAGTTTCCGTTCTCTTACTTAAGATTGCCTCAACCAAATGTTATGAAACTTATACACAATGCTTATTACCACAAAATACAGATCAAGTTTGAATTTTGGTGGCGTCACTCAAACCGTTCTAGAGTAATTCCCCTTTATAAATGGAAAAATTGGAAAATTTTTAGTTTGCGTTCTCTAACTTAAGTTTGCCTCAACCAAATGTTATGAGACTTACATACAATGCTTATTACCACAAAACTCAGATCAAGTTTAAATTTGGGTAGCGTCACTTTTACCGTTCTTCAGTTATGTCCCTTTATAACTATATGATATGCAAGCAGGGGCATCATCTGTGTCCACATGTAAACACAATCCACATTTATTTTATATGTTTTATTGTCATTATGGTCTCCATCTTTCTTCATTTTGTTTTATATCCCTCTTTGTATCTCTTTGAAATCAAAATTTTCAAGAACAAATCTTACAAGTTATACTTGTAGGTATCTGGCAGTGATCATAAGGAGTTTTACGTTGGTGACGAGGCTCAGCACAGACGTTCAGTGCTTAATTTGAATTATCCAATAGAACATGGCATCATCACGAATTGGGACGACATGGAGAAAATTTGGCAGCATTGTTTTGATGACGAACTGAGGGTAGACCCAGCGGAGCATCCTATAATTATGACAGAACCCCCATTAAATCCAAAAACGCAAAAAGAAAGGACTGTTCAAGTGATGTTTGAAAAATTTAATACGGCCGGCTTTTTTCTTGCCTTGTCGTCCAAACTTGCTTTATACGCTTCCGGTCGTGGTTCAGGTATCACTGTGGATGTAGGAGACGGTGTTTCATATGCTATGACGATTTATGAAGGTACGATCAAAGATTTTTTTATTATTTTTAAATATTTTAGCGACAGCTTGATGGTAGTTGTTGGGCTGTCTGAAAAAAACAAATATCTTAATCGGCTTCTAAAAACAATAGTCCAATGAATGCCTTAAATTGTTAAAACTTTGATTGGTTTGGGGAGTAGGATCTAAGGAAAAGACTAGAAAATGTATAGATGTTTTATTTCCATTGAAATGATTCACAGGGAGCATATTGCAACATAATACATTAATAGAACAATAACAAAATAAAACAACAATAGTCTAGTATGCATAGGGGTCTACATACATAGATAGAAACTTCGAAAGAAGAAAAAAAAAACAGTTTGAACATCATTAACTTTACACACATATATAAATATAAGTTCAACTGTATTTCCCTCCTTCTCAGGTACACCTAACATGAAAAAGTACCTAAAATGAATTGGCAATGTATTACATTTACTGCTTCTCCGCTGAGCGAACAGCGTGCATTTAGGAGAAATATGAAACACTGGTCGGCTCACACAATCGGGGTAATTTATTCGGTCAGGGTGGCATAAATTCCCACGACTGTTACATTACAATGCCAATGAGACAACTACATGCAATTAACATCTAAGTGTCAATCTAGTTCAAAGCAAGAATCAGATTATATGACAAAATCATATATTGTAGCGCTCGATAAGTGGGGAATATTTGCCGCTTAACGTTAGACATCTATCCACCCTTTTAACAAGAAAGCTTCGAGATTAACAGCCCTTTTAATTATGTATTAAATGATCGGAATATAGTTTTAACCTTTGTTGATTATCAATAGTTTTAAATAATGTTCATAAAATTCTCTAATAAATCTAATCTAACTAGTTAAAAAACTCTGACGTTGAGGAAAAAGGGGGGATGGGTAGTTAAAGGATAGATTGTGGCAAACTCTGATAACAAATAACTTGAAAGTAATTGTTATATTCAGGGCACTGTATTATGCCGGCTACAAGACGACTTGATTTTGGCGGACGGGATTTGACACTGAATCTGCAAAAATTGCTACACGAGAAAGGATATGATTTTGTAAATAATTGTAAGTAAAATAATGGGGTAAGAGGGAAAATGGGGAATCGTAGACATAACAGAGAGCTAAGATTTAAAGGGCCGTCGGTGAAATAGTTACTTTTATCAGAATTTATTAATAAGGGGAGATAAAAGAAACAAAAGAAGCGAGAGCAAGGCAAAAAGAAAACAACAAAACAAAAACAAACGATTTAGAACAGCGGACAGCACAGCTTTTTTGAAAGATAAATGTTGCTTTGTCAGATTGTGACTATGTGAATGAAACAAATTAATACATGGAAAATTGGCCCTACTTTAAAATGGTACTTCAGACCTATTTAAAAATGCACGAGATAGGGTCAGTATGATTATAGTACGTGTATTATGATAAATAATATACTACTTTACTAAAATGATTATCATAAATGTTCTACTGATACTTCGAAACACGGTTTCGGTGTCAAAACGTTTAATAATAAAAAATATATTTGCAAATTTAATTTTCTTATGTATATTTTTTGCAGCTGAATTGGAGGTTGTTAGAGAAATGAAAGAAAAGCTGTGTTATGTAGCTTTAGATTGTGACCAAGAGGTCGGAAATGTTCCCGATGAGAAATTTGAGCTTCCGGATGGAAACACAATCACAATCGGGAAAGAGAGGTTTATGTGCCCGGAAGCTTTATTTGGACCTATACCGGGTTAGAATAATGTAAATTGATAAGCTAATGCTTAAAGGTTAAAGCCATAGGTCAAACCTTGGACCGTGATCTAAATTTAAAGACACAGAGTGTTGAAAGATATATCTACTATTATATTAAAATAAGTATGATTGCCAATGAGACAACTATGCACGAAAGTTCAAATGAATTGGATATAAGCAATAATGAGAAAAACACATACCAAATAGTCGGCTTATGTACTTGTTCTGACTTCTCCACCAAGCACGCACCATTTAGGTGTGCGAGCAACGGCTGTTGTATGCCTAACATAGTAGGTGCATATTGCTTGTGTGTCCGTCTGCTCGTTAGAATGCAAATCTGTTCATCTTTTTGACTGTCCCGTATGAAATAGAAATGGTTGTTTACTGAAGTTTATCATAAAGATTCTGTCAAATCATTTGGAAGATTAAGACACATAAGCACGTTTCCTTTTCTTCAAATAACTGTTCACATTCAACATGATGAATATTCTTGTAAATTCATTATGATTTGAACTGTTTTAAGAATACTTGCGATCTTTGGATTATGTACATACACATATATTGATTGATTGTTGGCTGCATAACGTCCAGTGGCAAATATTTCATGCATGTTCAGGACGAGAACAAGTTAACAATAAATACAATAGGTAGGTCTGGTAATAGAGGCCAACCAGGATATAGCTCGGGGAAATTTGGACTGCCACTGGAAAATGATGGAATATTGGATAAGGACAGAAATTTACAGGCCACCTACAGACCCCTCAAAGAGTTGTTGCAATGGTTCTTAGCTTTTAAAGAGCGTTGGACCCTCTTTACACGCGGCATCGGATTTAACGTCCCCATTTGGCCGAACGTTGCTTCAAACTTGTACATCCCTCACAGCCAAACGGACGCCCCACTTTGGCAAGCGTTTTACTGCCGATCGGAAGAATACCACGTGACCATATTTCTATTCCCCAGTCACCCTTGGGGGCATATACACATTAATTATGTTTATTTAAAAATGATAGACCGTCAAATATTTTGTTCATTTCATATTTGTATTTAGCCGGTTTATTTAAACTTGCTGTAAACATTTGCATTTTTGTAGGTGTAGGATCTGGAGGTATAGTGGATCTGTTGCAGAGTAATTTGGATGCAACAGACGTAGACTGCAAAAAAGATTTATTATGTAATGTCATTCTGTCAGGAGCAACTACTATGTTCCCTGGTAAGTATATGCAGCAGATTGTATATTCCGGGCAGGGTAAAAATTTACTCCTTGCCATAAAATACCATTGAAAGTTCAAAACAGCGTTACATATGTACTTCTAAAACTTTTTCTCTGTATAGGATAACCGGGATACCATGTCTCAACTCACATTTGGCTGTTTTTCGGGGTTTCAGATCTTTATATGTAAAGAAAAGAGGTCTGATCTTTTAATCTGCAGGTTGTGTACTATTCCTCGTTGAGACATTTTGACTCAGTGTAGATTCACATGGCAGTTGAATAATGCATAGCCGGAGACGTGCACCCTTTTGACGCAGACGATATCGCTCCTGTTTAAGTTCACGTGATTCCCTCAATTCTTTTAAGTTTATATGTATATAGAGATAAAAGATGTTGTATTATTGCGAATGAGACAACTCTCCGCAGGAGACCAAATGACACAGAAATTAACAACTATGGGTCACCGTACGGCTTTTAACAATGAGCAAAGCCCATATCACATAGTCAGCTATTAAAAGCCCCGAAATGACAAATGTAAAACAATTCAAACGAAATAATTTATATATGTATGAAATTTATGGATTTATGGGATTTCAACATGTGTAAACTACTTTTGCTTTATTTTGTATCATCTAGAACTAATAAGATAGTATCTAGCATAGATCATCTGTCAATTAACGATGGTTAATAAAAAAAAACCTCGATAATCTTATAAATCGAAACAGGTCTTCTTTCCTCTATATCTTCCTCCAATAGTTGGAGTACACCAACCTTACTGAATTAAGGTTGGTTAATCCTTATAAAAATTATTAAGTGAATACCTAACTATTTAAAAATAACATTATGTACAGTTAAATCCCTGAAAAGATACTAATAATAACTTCTATGTACATTAAAAATGGGTCACAGTTTAAAAGTAATTAATAAAATTTTTAAAAATAAAAAAGTTTTGAATATTATTTACAGGGCATGCATTATAGTAAAAAATCTTTACATTTACTAAACAATGTTACTTAAAGGTAAAAAATAACGAGTTTTCAGCTTCCTGCCTGCTACATGCTGGAGTTACTACATCTGTCTATGAGCATTACTAGGCGATATAAAATCAATAAAATCATGCATATAAGCTTATATGTCCTAAGCGATTTAATTATGCATAGCCATTATCTATCTGTTATATATATATATATGTGAAGCTACTGGGTATTAAAGCTAACGGTAAACATGTACATTTATTCCAACTATAGGTATAGCGCGGCACAACCACACTGACCAGTTATTCTAAAATTTCATGGATTTTCTCAGCATTTAATTTTACGTAAAGGATTGATAGGTTTAGCGCGGAACACCCACACTGACCTAGTTGCTCTGTCCAAAAACCTTTATGATGACTTTAGATTAAAGATAAACGTTGTTTCAGTTGTTTCATTTTACGGAGTTAAAGAAAGCAATTGAAGGTATAGCGCGGAACAGCCATATTAACCTAAATTAAATGAAGATTTAAACATTTAGATTTTCGTAGCATTTAATTCTGTGTAAAAGATTGATGTTAGGTTTAGCGCGGAACACCCACACTGACCTAGTTGTACTGTCGAAGAAGCATAAATGATTATTCCTTAGATTGGAGAAAAAAGCCTTATTTTATTTTATGAAGTTGAAAGATAGTTGTTTAAGGTATAGCGCGGTACAACCACACTGACCTTATGACAACTAGACATTAAGAGAAGACACTCTTTTTAGATGGAGTCTATAACATAAGTTCCTGCTTAATTCTTCTATTGAATTAAGAAAAAGGTTATCATGAGGGAGAATATTGTTTAGAGCCAGTTGCTGACAATCCAAAATTAGTTGGGCAATACAAGTTCTCTCGTGAAAGTTGGAACTCCAGTTTCCTAGCCCAATTTTGCTGATGGTAATTCTTTTGATAACACTTAGAGATTCTCTGCGTATGCCTTCCAGAACGGGACAGCGAGTGAGGAAATGGATGATATCTTCTTCTTCCAGTTGACAAATTGGGCAAGTTGCATCAAGGTTAATATTTGAGAAACGAGCTTTCTGTGATTGAAATATATATGTCCCTGTGCATAGCCTTGCTTTTATTGTTGCTTTCCTGAGTTCGCCAATATTTGGTGGTAGACTATTCCAGATAGTATGAGGTTTTCCAATGTCTAAATTAGGGATACAGAGAAATTTTAGTGTTGTTTTGCTATTGGCGTCCCTTTGAAGATTCACTTTCCAGTAGTTGTTTATTGCTTCTCTTGCCTTGCATTTCCATGATAACTTTGATGGCAATTGATCTTTCAGATAAGTCCATGGAGGAAGATTATACATGTATAAAAGATCTGCTACTCTGTTAAGGAAAGTTAGTTCATGTGTTTGCAGGACATATTGCCTCTCTAGAGCCTTTTTTAGATTCTCGTTATTAGATGAAAAGATGGAGTGGAACAGGCTAAGAACTCTTTTGTGAATTTCTGCCTCTATGGGGAGCGCACCCAAGAGTAAGTATACTGCTGAAATTGCTGTCCGTGAGGGAAGAGCTTGTATTTGTCTCAAAAAATTCACGTGGAAATCTCTTAGCAACTTAATGTCCCCATTATTTAGTGGCAGAACTTCCAGGCTGTAAAGTAGCCTTGGTAGAACGTATACTCTGTATATCATATAAGAAGTTTTAGGGTTTAATCCGTTTGTACCATGTACTTCAACGTTCATAAGAGAATAGGCTGTCCTTCTGGCTAAGCTAATTCTGTCCTCGATGTTTGTTTTATTTTGGTCTTTAATTGCTCTTATGATACCCAGATGTGTACCTTGATTAGCTGATGGCATGTTTTTATCATCGAGTTTGAATTGAACTTCACTCTTCGTTGTTTTTGAGTTACTATATTTATTAATTATAACGCTTTTGGTTTGATGGATCTTGTATCTATGTTTGTCTGAGTATCTTTTAGATGTATCTAGCATAGATTGCATTTCTTCTTCAGTTGATGACAAAAGTATAATATCATCTGCACAGGTTGGACATCCCGTAAAGATTGTGCCGATGTACTGGCCCATACCATTCTCTTCAAGTTCTGTAAGTAGGTCGTTAATGTACAGTTTGTACAAATGGGTGGATAGAATTCCTCCTTGGCGGACTCCTTGCCGTACAGGGAAGCTGTTACTAAATCCGTTTTTCCATTTAACTTTAGAGGTAAGGTTGTTGTACATATCAAAAATGATTTCCAAAATATCTGGATCAATATTTTGGTCAAATAACTTGTCGAGAAGAATATCATGATGAACAACATCAAATGCCTTTTGTGAGTCCAGAAGTCCAAAAATTAATTTAGATTTTTGATTTTTTGATATAAGTTCCGATTCAGAGACTAGTAGTGCTGCCATTGCTGGTGAGAGGCCACTTGTGAAGCCAAATTGTAATTCTGATTGTTTATCTAATTTCGGAAGTATTCTATTAAGGATAACATGTTCAAAAATTTTTCCAATAATTGACGAGACGGTGATGCCTCTGTAGTTATCAAGTATTTTGTCATCTTTATTTTTCTTGCATACTGCATTAAGAATACCGGTTTTGAATTGGATTGGTACTTTTTTCTCAGCCAAAATTTGGTTAAATAGAGAAACAAGATACGGAACAACAACCTCTTCAGCAGATTTGAAATGTTCAGCAGAAAGCCCATATTCATCGCATGCCTTTCCATTGTTCAGATTTGATATTGCCTCTGAAATTTCGGCGGGGTTGAATTTGTCTGAACTGAAATCAGATAAGCTACAGATTTCTTTTATAATTTCACAGCGGAATTGGCAGTTATTTAGGAAATTTTCATCAAAGTCAGGATCGTCCTTAGGTGTTGCTAAATTTTGAAAATATTTTGCCATTGCCTCCCTTTGTTCTTCTGGATCGGTGAGTTCATGATCATCATATAGTATGGTTGTAGCAAGTTCTTTAGTGCTGTTTGTATTTCTGCGTATTAATCTGTAGAAAGTTTTAGAGTTGGGTTCACTTTCCAGTTTTTTATAAAATTCTTTACATTCAGCTGCTCTCTCTTGCCGTAATCTTTTTCTAACATTTCTTTTTGCTTCCTTCAGTTCCAAAAAACAAGTGTCTTCACCTCTCTTTCTTCCATGTAGGTCCCATATCCTGTGTTTCTGCTTACTAATCGTTAGCAACTTTTTTGCATGTTGCGAAACTTTTAGTCTTGGGCCGCGGAGTTTTTGTCGGAATTGTTTTCCTTGCAGCTTGTTTAATTGCATCTATCAGATTAGTTGTTTGGTCTTCCGTTGTTACTTTTCGATTTTTATTTTGGTCTAAATATTTTTTCATTGCTTCACTGTAAATTGTTGGTACACATTTTTCCCATTCTGTTTTATGCAGTACCTCGTTGCTGAAATTTGATGATTTTTTTAGTTTTTGCTTGTCAGCTTGAAGTGTTAAAAGAGCCTTGACTGGTACATGGGCTGATAAATTTATTGCATCTTGAGAGAGAGTTTGAATAGAGTGGATAAGGTTGCTATTTGATGACAGGATGTAGTCTATTTTAGACGTAGATTTTCCATTATGATGAAAGAAAGAGTGTAGGTGATCATCAGGTAAAGCGAATTACAATCAGACTCGATATGATTTACAGTCTATCATAAGATAATGACCTATCAACAGTATTTTTTATCACTGTGTATTTAAATTTTTTCTATAACTTGGTGGAAAGGATCTTTTGCAATAAAATTATGATTCGAAAAATAAAATAAAACACATTAATAAAAACTATGTAATTTCTTCATTACCATGAAAATGCTTTTTTATCGTCAAATTAAGTTTACCTTTATGGTAGCTTGTATATACAAAAATATAATGGCAAATTATACAGAAAACTTGAATAACCATTAGAATAATGAAAAATCAGCTAATCAACACACACAAAAAAGAGGACTAAAACATATGATCCTTGATAAACAGTCGTAAATACTAATGGCGTGGGACTTGTACATGTTATTATTCATAAATTGTAAGAAGTTGAATTTGTTATTTATAAAAGAAAGTCACGCCATTAATGAAGCTTATAAACTGGAGAACATTCTGCACAAATGTCCATGCAGGTGCAGGTATATATATAGATTCTACCACTGCATCGAGTGTGATACGATATTTATCCACTCGAGACAGTAAAATTTTCATATTTAAAACGCGAGGCTTGCCGAGCGTTTCAAATATTTAAAATTTAACTGTCGAGAGTGGATAAATATCGTATTACACGAGATTTGGTGGTGGAATCTGTTTCTCTAATGATTTTCAAACAATACGCAGGCAAATTTATTCCTTCTTTTCGAATGATCTGCAAAAAGATGTGTTCTTTCTATGTGACGTCATCAGGCATGGTCGCCTTTTTTCATGCCGTCACAATAGGAAATTCAGAGGAAAGCAAAAAAATTCGACGTCATAATCGGACTGAGATCAAACGAACCACACGTTGATTAATTTTTTTTATACAATGGATGCAGAAAGGGATAAATTGGCGAAGAATTAGAGAAATTCATTTAAGTACATAAAATACTTAATAAATGTGTGTTTTTTTTTATCTAATCAGGTTTTCCTGAGAGAATTAGGAAAGGAATAGAATCTTTTGTTCCAAAAACAATGAAAGTGAAAGTGATGGCTAACCCAGAACGTAAATCCTCAGTGTGGATTGGTGGATCTATTTTAGGATCTTTATCCACATTTCAAACATACTGGATAACCAAACAGGAATACGAAGAATATGGACCAACAATCGTGCATAGGGGAGATTGACGAATGGAAACTCAAAATAACCAGAACTGACTGGTTCAGAATATAAAGCATTCTGGGTAATATCTTCAACAATGAACAAAACAATAAACAAATTGACAACAGTCATTTCAAAAACTAAGGCAATTATACCCGTTATTTTCAACTCATAAAACTAGCAAAAAATGTAATGTGATATTGAATCATTGTTTTTGTCTTCTTTTGTCTATAAATTAAATGCCTTATATCAACTTTTATACATGATGTCTTTTTATGTGTTTTTTTATATTTCTGTCTCATAGACAATTTACCCCATGACGTGTTCATAATTATATTCACACATTATTCATAAATTAGATCATAGGTTATTATAAACCTGCCATTAAAACCAAACTATTCACCTTTTTGAGACTTTACCCATTTATTTCAATCATAATTTATTACACAAGACTTTACTGAGGATAGGGATTAGATTAATAGAATAGAGAATTATGGGTAAAATTTGTTAACTTCTATGTCATTTGGTCTCTGGTGGATTGATATTTTATAAGCAACCGTACCACATCTTCTTATTTTTTTATATCAAAGAAAAGATTAGAGAACATGGCTTTGAAAAATGAATACAGTCATGAGGACAGCCTAATCCAGAACCTCATGTTATGGCTGTCCACTACTTATATCTATACTCATGTGACCATAGATTAAGTATAACACTTGAATCACTCTCCATGGACGTAATATCTGTCTTGTAACTTTTGAAATCCGACAGGAGTATCAATATTATTTCCTGTTGTTTATGCAATACACAATGATGTATGCATGCATTGATTAATAGTTGGCTTTTTTGGGTGTAGTAAGCCAGAATTCACAGAGAGGAGCACCTAAACTCGACAGGAAAACTTTCAATCCTTGTCAATTTGAATAAGAGTCAATAACCTAGTACCACGAGCAAGATACAAACTCACAACTTGGCCTATATATATACATAGCCTAATGTCCAGAGCACTGTAGATAACTTATTTAGACAGCTCGGTCAGTGTATGTATAGCAAATATGTGTCTTCAGAAGAGTGTTTAACGCTTAACAAAATAAAAAAAAAGGTTTAAAAAGGGGACTCGAAAACACACAAACAAAACTAACTAAAAAAGCTAGGAATGTGCCTGATCCAAGTCAGGCTATCTGGACAAGTTGACGTGTTGTCTGTATTGAAATGTACTCCTTTCTTTTTGGATAATAATATGCAGAAGATGTATTAAACTTTGCCATGGACGTTAAACAGCCCTCCATCACCTACAAAATGAGAAAATAAATATTATGTACTTTGTCTATAGAGTGTCTTTATGCAATTTTGTTTTTTATGCCCCCCCCCCCCCCCCCCCCCCCCCCCCAATCTAAAAGTTCGTGAGCATATTGTTTAACCCCTGTCCGTCCGTACGTCCTTCCGTCCGTCCTTCCGTCCGTCCCAATATGGGTATATTATGATTCCGCATAACTGCTCCTACAGTTTAAATCCTAGGAAGTTTTCACTTTGCTGGCTGTTAAAACATATATTGAAGATGTGCATGTGGTCAGGGTTTTGATTTTTATTAATATTTGCTCTTTTAGGAGATAGTTGAACTTTGTCATATTTGGAGTTTATACTTGCATAAGAGGTGCATAGCATTTCCACTTTGTCTAGTTTATATTTATGTTACACTCAGAATGTAATCTACTGAAAAGAATAGATTATGCTTAAGCCAATGCAAAGAAGAGAAGGTACATGTATTAGGGATTAGACATCATCTTTTTCTGTTGGTCATTGGAAATTTTGTTCACCACCATTGTGATTTGGATGGATTGATTGTTTGTTGGTTGGTTCTATGATAGAATAGCAAAAAGACCTCAAAATATGATGGTCATATAAACCTTACAAATTTAGATATTTCAATTCTATTTATTTAACAACTACATTTTTTTTTGGAACAGATATTCACAATCAAACAAAATGTGTACCATAGTACTTATTTCATTAGCATTATGTGTACATTATTAATGTACTTGTGGTTGACATATATAAACTCCAAGTTTTAATACTATGCCTTGCTCTTGGTCTCTTTGTCTTTGTTGAAACAGTTATTTGTTTTTATAGTGATCAAGATTATAACACAATTTTAATTGCTGTACAATTGCCCCCCCCCCCCCCCCCCTCCCCATCTGACTAATGTAAAACAATTCAAACGAGACAACTACCGGCTTATTTTATGTACAATAAAATGAACGAAAAACAAATATGTGACATAACAACAAACACCAACCACTGAATAACAGGCTCCTGACTTGGGACAGGCACATACATACAGAATGTGGCGGGGTTAAACATGTTAGCGGGATCACAACCCTCCCTCTAACATGGAAAGTGCTGTAACAGTACAACATAAGAACGAACTATAAAAATTAGTCGAAAAAGGCTTAACTCGTCAGATGGATACACATAGAAATACATATAACAAAAACACAGAGTGGACGTGGCCGGGTACTTGTATATCCCAACAACAAAAAGACACTGTACATATCTGATAAGGTCGATTTATATTCGTCGCAGCTCATATGTTTATTGCTCCGTACCATACGGTTTAGATTTAAGTAAAGTACTGACAATCACCTATAATTATATATATATATATACTAGTATATATGTTGGTTGTCATCAGAGACATATAATACGTCAAAATATGTATTGTAACACTTTATAGTTACCGAAAAGGGTTAACAAATCATTATAAAATAAAGAAGACACTCCCAAACAGCACCAGATCACTTTACATTGCAGCTTATTTAAGGAAACTGAGTAACTCAGATTTGGATAGTTCAATTTCAAGATAAAACATGCTTAAATGTTGCGAATGGAAATAAGACACACAAAAAAAAACCAACAGTTATACGCTGTAGTTAATTGATAAAGAGATCATTACGTGATTATTTCTGTATTGGCATTGTTATTGGTCCGATGCTTGCTGTGTTGGCCTTCGGCTTCGCCTCAGGCCAATACAGAAATAATCACGTTATAATATCATATTATATGTTTCTGTTGTCATCAATGAAATAAACACTTTAAAACTATATTTTTCAAAAAATGTTAAAATGATAGAATTTCAGGATAATCCTTCAATGAAATATTCTCTTAAAATAATGACAATGTACACAGAATGTAACTGTGTATAACCTCCCTGTAACGAGATTTTTTTTTACTATATATGAGGGTAAGGATGGGTTAACAGAATAGGGATTAATAGTTAAAAAGGGGGGATAAAGAATAGAGAAAAATAGGACAAATAAATAAGAATAGAGAATAATGGGGTGCTTAAATATAAAGAATAGAGAATGTAGGCCAAACATATAAAGAATAGAGAAAAATTAACTAAAACATTGGAGATTATAGAAATGAAGGACTTTCGACCCAGACCCTCACAAATCTATTTTTGCATAGATTGGGACAAACTGTTATGATACATAATCATGAAACATTGTTTCGGGGGAAACTATTTTATAGTAAAATATTTTGCTTAACATACTGGTATCGTTTTCCGATCTTTCATTAGCATATTTACTTGTATTGTCATAAAGTGCGTTTAATCAAACCTTGTTATAGCACACATCGATTTCATTCACAAAAACAACTTATTTGCTTACAAGAACATTAACTAGTACTATTATACTTCCTCAAACAAAACAATGCATATTTATATCGATTTTGTTAACCCGGAGTTCTTACATCATAATCATACGAAAATAATTTCTGCTATTATGATTAAGTTTTAAAAGTGTAGTATGTTCGTCACAGGATTTTAGGAAAAGTAGTCTGTCGACTCATTTTGACACTATCACTGCACTGGCAATCGAAATAAATTCTCATGACCGATTTGTATTTTTTTTACTTCAAACGTGTTGGACATGCATGAACCTTGTTTCTATAGAATAACAATGTTTCGAGTAAATATTCAATGTAGATTTAAGCATTAATTTCCTCATATATTGTCTGAAATGGTCGCAGTATAGAGGTAGGGGTGAATTTGTAAGTAATTACCGTGATCTGCTTAATGGTAACAGAATAGTATGAGCATTTCATTATTCTACAATAACAATGGGAAAATCCAATCGTCACTGTCTTCCATCTTTCAAAAAGAAAACGACTGGTTTTAAAACATGTAATTTTCTGCATAAATTTTGCTACTATCAATCAAGTAGACATTACCGTATGAGACTAATCACCGATGTAAACTTACGATTACTAGCATGACGTGTGCCTCTAGTAGGAGAGGAGAAACTTTCCAAAACACCCGAAATCACTCCAAATTCATAGTAATGTTCGTATTGTTAGGTATAAGTTTCTATAAAGTGTTTTTGTTTTTCGACTTCTTTGTCTTTTCGTTGCATTTTGTTGTTTCGTCACTGCGTTGTCAGTTGCATGCACTTTGACTTATGAATTGTGTGAAATGCTTTCTAAAAATTAACATCAGATTATTTGTGTTTTTTTTTTTAAGTTTATATCTCTTTGTTTTCTATCCTTAGTGAATATCAATGACTTTTATTAGACAAATCGTTATTCATCTTTTAACTGTCATCCGCTAAAAATCAAGAAGCCGACGAACAGTACGTTTAGCACAAATAAAGTTTCCGCTTTAAAAAATTTGTAACTTTTAATAATTGAAACATCAGTTAGGAGTTTCAGTTAAAAAGGATAACTTCATATCTTGAAAATTATTTAATGGCAGGTAAGCCACTGTTTAAGAATAATAATTTCGTTAAGTTGAATAGTTTGAAATAAGTTAATGGAATGAGGAGATCAGAATTACTTCGCATTTAGGAATTTAATTATGAATCCCGAAAATAATTATTGTGAAGAAAATGCAACTGCATTATGAATTATGATTTATCATAAAGTAAGTATTTAGTTTGTATTTTTTTCTCTTATGCCGTGACCACACTTCTGGAATGTGGCATACTAATTCAAACTTATCGCCAGGTTTTACTTACACGTGTAACACGACTGGTGCCACATGTGGAGCAGGATTTGCTTACCCCTTCCGGATCACCCGAAATCACACCCCACCCTTAAACCACCCAACCCCATCCCCGTTTTTGTGGGATCGTGTTTACAGCCTTTAAATTGCTATATTGTGGTTTCGGTACTGTTGTTTGTCTTTCCGATGTTTTTCGTTTTTTGCCATGGCATAATGAAAGCTCGGATCGGTTGGTATGCCTTGATCAAACCCAATCGAGCCATTTATCATGTTGAAAACATACATCCTTTCTTAAAAAAAAGGGGGGGGGGGGTACTTTAAGCTACATTTTAAAGGAAAAAACATATAGCGCAACGTGAAGTTAAAGGATAATGCTAGCTGTCGGTCGACTTCTCGCAGAACATACAGAAGACAGAAACTTAAAAAAGTAACCAACGTAGACAAGAACTACAAAAATTAATGTCACAAACGCCAAAATCATCAGTCGTGAATCTTTTAGGAGTAATTAATCGCTTTTGAATGACGGATTTTTTCTCATTTTGTATGTGTGTGTGTGTGTTTTTTTTTTAAACTATAGTGGATAGAGTGTTAGAGTAAATAAAACTAATGATAAAAAAAAAATAAAAAGATCTACGAACAAGTCAAATGACCGAAACTATTAGTCGATTCCTATTAGAAGTTATTGCCCATAAGTGATAAATTCCATACCTTTGTTTTTCAGTTGTTTAATTAGTCCTATTGAGATAAGCTTTCTATTAATGTTTACGAAATTCCCTTATACAGTCTAAACTATTCAATTTAAATTTGGTCGTTTATTTCTCATTCGAAAATAGGTTATATGATATGCTAAATACTGTTAATTTAGTGATTGATTAAAAAATATAGTGACATAACAAGGAACAAATGCTGAGTGTATTGAGGAATTATTATATAAAAATGGTTTCGTATTTTAATTTAGCTTTTATTTCCAGGAAACAATCAGCTTTGCGCACAAGAAAGTAACTTTTTCGCAAGCAGTGAATTAGTACCGTCTGGATTACCGTATAGGGGTCTCAACCATGCGAACTTTATCCCCGTCAACCAATTAACGGTACCTTCTTATGTACATGTACAACCATTAATGGGTAACAATCAAATAAGAATGTATAATGCAACTGAGGATCTGTTTATACCATGTGGAGAATTTTACAGTTATCAGTCAACAGAACCCTATGACAGAAGGAATTGCAAAATCATTCTCCCTCCAATTCATCAAGAGAAAGTAGGAATACAAGAAACAACAAGACGACAATAGACAATCTTTGGTAAAAAAATGTAACTTTTTTTATTTGCAACATAATTTGATAAAAAAAAATAAAATGAATACAAAACTAAAAAAAAAAAGAAATAAATTAAACAAGCGACGAAGGACTATAGCTTAGTTCATGCTGCATCGACATACTGGTTCTCTGTACAAGATCCTAATTAAGGGTCTTCATAGACATGCATCGATGAGTCTTTATATGAATTTATAAACATGACAGTGACTTAGTGCTTCCATGTGTGTTATCCTTATAGATATAAAAAAAAAATAAATTACAATATCTTTCATGACTTGTCATTTATGGACAATGCTGTTGAAGGGTGCACGTGGCAATGCCTTACCCAGCGACCTATACTCACTACTTGTTCATTATGATATGTTATGTTTGATCTTTATTCAAGATTTTGCACATACATGACATACAAACATATTCGAAAATAAAATTTGCAGTTATTCAGCAAAATATAAATCAATGCTCAGATAGAAAAACAATAGAAAAAATCTATTTGAGAACAAGAAGAAGTTTGAATTCAAACCGAACACTTGTTCACCAAATTAGGGAATAAATAAGTTTTAACAGTAGAAACCATTTAAGTTATACAGCGTTCGATTTTTTGTATTTCGTTTTAACGGACTGATCAGTTCAATTCTAAATTAACCATAATTGTCTGACTTAAATGCAAAGAAAAACCCAGCATAAACATAATAAAGCAGATCCGTCTTGGGGATCAGGCCGTTTTCTCGTAAAGTTAGAATATCGAAAAGAAATGATTACATGTTTTGCTGACCACCCCCGCCCCAATAAAAAACAAACCAAAAAATTACAATAATCCGGACTGTGATAAGGTGTTTTGTTGTTCTTGAATATTTTTTGTTAGCATTTCTGCTCATCCAATTGTATATGATGATTGAAAACAGAAAAGACAGTCCTAGTTTTTTTTTCATATTTTTTGCCACAGAAAATAAAGAAAGTGGATGCTAAAATGACAAAATTTTGATGCATATATAGATTATGAAACTGATAACTGAAACATATTGAATACTTGTTTTATACATTCATATTTAATAAAAATAACGTTAAATGTTGGATTGACTTGATAAATAAGTATTTAAGGTAGATGGGGTGTCTAAATTATAATCCATAGAATTTTTTAATAATTTGCCAAAATGTTGTTTATTTCATCCTTTTTTTAAAAAAATAATAAAAAGAATGGGTCACGGGGCTTATTTTTACGCTACAGGTTGTGCAAAATTGACAGATTTTTGTATAGATTATGCATGCAAAACCCAATTTTCTGAAATAAAACAAAAACTACACCATAGAATTTTGAGATAAAATATGAGGAGATAGCTCTAATATTATGCTTTCAGATAAGAAAAAGAAAAAATGGGGTCACGGGACCCGTTTTCTTGCTACATAATAAAAAAGGTAAATTCCTAACACACTCTATTGTAAAAGTAACTTTATCTGAATTATCTGCCTTTAGATTTGAGTTGCCTCCCCTTATGTGACAAAGTTGGAAAAAATTGAATCAAACAAAAGTATTCTGTTTTTTGTAAAATACAACCATAAATATGATAAAACATGTCTTTTTCTATATTAAAATGAAAATTCTTACACATGAATTACCGACTACTCTCAAAATTTGCACATTTTATTAAAGATCTAGACCGATTGTTTTCTGGTATTTCAAAATCCAAGATGGAGGAAGACACCCTATCTACCTTAAGAAGCATTTGAAAAAAAATATTATACATAAAGAATAGAAGGAATCATCAAATATATAATATAGTACTAGGCATATATAATTAAAAAAAAAAACAACACTGCCTCCTAATCAGACGCATATATAAAGACAAGGTCAGATAACGTGTCTTGGTACATGCACAATATTATTCTGGTTTCAAAACATTTATTTTTGCATAACAACCTCTCCATTCCTCTACATTACCATGGCAAACTGTATTCTCTGATGCAATTTATAATTTAATACTATCAGAATGAATCGTCTTTTGGAGTGAATTAATTAATTCATATCTCGTTTAGTTCAGAGTTCATACAATTCGAAAAGCTACCATTTTGAAATATTTCATTTGCTATTTTAAAAACGTTACACTTTCAACACTAGAAATAACTGTTTTTATTTGGGTTTAAATTACGTCTTATTATATAGCTTGATTATCCGGAAAATTTTGACTTTATTTAGTTAATCTAAATTTGAAATAGAAATAGAATTCATTTTGTCTGTGCGTTCATGTATCATGTCTTTTTTTTTCTGAAATAGTAATATTTATCAACATTTCGCGGGAAATTGTCAATGTTTAGGATTAATTCCCTTGTTCACGTTTGTGTAAGTCATCTATTTTTAGCACACACATAACTATGCAGTCAGAAGTGGATATTTGTTGGATACTTATACTTTCCGCAAAGAAGTTTGGTGCAGCAATGGGTTGACAGTACAGAAACTATGTAAGTATTATTATAAACGAATATATAGGGAAAATATAGTTGTCATACCACGCTCTCAACAGAAACTTATTACTTTAGATACATGATATAATTTATCATATATATATGGAAGGACGATAGGATAAACACATCATCACTATTATGATAAGGTCTAGTGAATATATAGAGAAGGTTAGATTTACTTCATGTAATTCAAAAGCTAATTCACTGGAACAGATAGAAAACATTAAAAATAAAAGGATTAGAATAAGTAAATGATTTATAAAAATTAGATTATTGAACAAATACTAAAAAACCATAATATTTAAACGATTGGAGTGCAGAAATGAAAACATATGTCGTTTATTTCCTAATTTTCAAAAATAAAAAAATATTAAAACCATTTTCAAATATTAGATTAAAAAAATTGTTTTAATTTCATTGTGGTCTTGTAACTAGGTTATTAGAATTGAAAATAAAAATTGACACTGTATCTAGGTTGTCAGAATTTAGGAATATGGTATTGTAATAAGAAAAGCGCATCGGACGCATTAAATTTACAACGTGTTGTTTTCATTTTTTTGTGTAAAAATGAAAACTATCTAAGTCACTTGTATTCAAAGTTATAGAATTTTAAAACTGTTTTCAAATATTAAATTTTCCATTAATAAAAAAGATAAAATCTAAACATTCGAAAATTGTTTTAATTGTATTTTGGTCTTGTAATTAAGTTATCAAAAAAACATTTACATAGTGGTATTGTAACTAGGTTGTAAGAATCTGAAAAAAATGAAATTGTAACTAGGTTGTCGGAATTAAAAAAAAAGGTAATGTTATTAAATTGTCGGAATAAAAAAACATGTATTATAACTAGGTTAAATCAATGGAAACAAAATCTCTATAAGTGTAAATATCTAAAGATAAACAAAGAAAAAAGAAAATAAATTTTTGAACATTTCATGAATAAATTGTGTATTTATATACGAATACCGTGATATAAGAAAACTTAATAGACTGCGAAAAATATCATAACTATATCTAATATAGTTACGAATCAGTTTACAGGTAAGGTAAAATATCACCTGCAGATATTTATATTTTTACGATACCTACACAAAAACAAGATTCTTTAAAGTAAATATATGTAATTTACCTCAAATGACCCTGACTAAATTTAACGTTAATGTTGATGGTTTCCTTTTTTTTTTGAAAATCCAATACTATACAGCAATAGCAGTTTTGATTGCATTTTTTTGGTTTAAATATACAGTCATTTTAAAGTTTATTGTTTTATCCTGTGCATACGTTGACTGTAGAAGCGTCTATTATTCAAAATGTAGTTTTCTAACACTATCAAAATCGATGCCTCTGCTGGTAGACATTCAGTCCCTGAGGGTATACCAGCCACAAAGTTAGCCCTTTTCTACCGACATGGAATATCATTGATAATGTTCATTTGTTTTGTATATTCACTGTTGACAAAATGTTAAAAACACTGAGGTTGCTCTCGCCCGATATTTAGTTCTCAGAAACAACTTTTAGAAATATTTTGTTATTGATGATCTTCAACATTAAATTTGTCTTACCAACACTTCCGATTCGATGATTGTCTGGCCTACCAAATTACAAGCCTTGTATCGTTGAAGCTTTTTGATTGGTTAACGTACTTATGTTTAAACAAGAACATTGACATCTGTTAGTGGTTATCAACGATCACATCAACTCGAGTTTTGGCTATTTTTGAAAAAGTTTGTGGTGATTGCAAATTGGATAATCTTAATTTTTTCATTTGTTTCCTAGACTATGATCCTGCTAGGAAGATTGTTCACACAATTATTCTAATTGTTCATGAAGAGCTCAATTTAGCCGTAAGGTGTCAGTTTTTTGTTTGTTTTCTACTTCAAATATTCAAAGCGCCATATTTAATACTTGTAACGATATTGTCTTCATGAACTGATAATTTCAGGATTATTATATTTTTCAAAAATAAAGGAAATCTTTGTTCGAAAATATATAAAGGATGATACATCCCTATTTATTGAGAAGATACCAGACACTATTACCACATTTCACAGTTTGAGATATATACGCAGTAGACATAGACCATCCAAAGTTCAATTTCCGATTACGAAATCGAGTATGAACGCGAATTACAATTTTATTTTCTAAATATGTTCATATTACAAGTGATTGAATGACAAAGAGTTAGTAAACTTTATGGGGATTGATGTGATCGTACCACCGAATGAATTTCTCCGTCCCTTTTTGAATTACTATGGTGATGAATATTTGATTTCAAGAAAAGGGGTGTGCATTTAAAAATTCATATGCGGTGTTAGTTAAAATCGGAGGTCTATAATCTGGCAAATTTTGTCTGTTTGCAATTATACCATTTCTCTTTTTTTTTTTTAGATAGAAACCGTTTCAATCTAAATCGATGGAGCTCTAGTTGCTTCTCTGATGACCTTCATTTAGACATTTATGCTATATTGAATTTTGTCTGTTTATGTTACTGGTATTCGATCGTGAATGTACCATGTTACTGGTATTTTCGTTTTAATAAATTTTTATTGTTGATGATAACTTGTGGAATACTACACTACATATAAGTTTAAATTTCCTTTCAGAATGTCTGATTATGACGATATTTCAGCCGTTGTCTTTGACAACGGTTCGGGTGTGACCAGAGCCGGTTTTTCTGGGGATGAAGCCCCAATGTGTGCATACAGCACAGTAATAGGAAGACCAAGGGCAGATGCAAAATGCAAAGTAAGAATAATGTTTCGTTTGAAAAGGAAGTACAATAAAAAACAATAGACAAACTTGATCTTTTCTTCTCACCCAAGGTGAAGAGGTGATGGTTTTTCGTTTTTTTGTTAAAAATTGTTCTCCGTGAGTAGGAATTCCATTGAATACAACAGAACAGTCTATAATTTCTGTCTACACAGAAGGCGGGACTCAGACTCAGATAGAAAGGAGGTTTTGAGGGGATTAGAACCTTAGTTTCTTTCTGAAATTATCAACCGCGAATTCAATAGATATAAGAAGATGTGGTATATATGAGTGCCAGTGAGACAACTCTCATCCAAGTCACAATTTGTAAAAGTAAACCATTATAGGTCAAAGTATGGTATCATGACAGTGCCGACGCATTAACTACTACTCCTAAGGGGACTAAATGTCAACCAGAAGAGGTAAAAAACCGGTGCTAGTATAATGAAAATTTAATTTTACAAAGTGATGTTTACAAAGCGCCTTACTATGTATACCAGATTTACTTTCATCAGGAACGTTCAAAATTTGAAAGTCAGATGGATTATACCGAACAAGTCTAAGTCGGATCTACACTAACTCATTAAGGTTGTAGAGTTAAGCTAGTCTCAAATTCCAAAACCTCTTGTGCACATATCGTAAAGAATCTTTGTGGAAAGGCAAGTTTAGTACGTATTTCCATGCTTTTTATCTATACAGAGTAAGGAAAATTTCCCCTATTGTTCATCTCTCTATAGTAAGGTAGTTTTTCTATGTTTATATCGCTCTTCAGGGTATGGATTCTAAAGATTACTATGTTGGAGATGAGGCACAGAAAAGACGCGGTTTGCTTTCCCTGGATTATCCAATAGAACATGGAATTGTAACAAATTGGGACGACATGGAACTAATATGGCATGATATTTACAAGAGTTATCTAGAGGTACCACCAGAGGAGCACCCATGTCTCCAAACAGAACCTCCACTAAATCCAAAATATAACAGGGAGAAAATGGCACAGGTATGCGTCTTAAACATACATGATTTACAAACTGTAAGTCCTCAAAGGAATCCTCAGCTTAGAAGTCAGTGATATGCGACTGCCATGACTTATGATGTTAAATAACAAAATTTCCAAACTCCAAGGAAAATTTTAAAGAAAAATCCTTTATCAAATGGTAAACCCAAAAGCTTAAACATATCAGTAGATATAATAAACGAATAGAAAACAACATTCATGACTTTGTACAGGCATTTGTTTTATGTAGGAAATGGTGGATTAAACCAGGTTTTCGTTTTCGTGTTCGTTTTTATCTTTACTTTTCGTAAAAATGTTTAGAAAAAAATTAACACCATATCATATCACTTAAATTTATCTCAAATTAATTTTACATCTCCAATGATTTTGACGTGGGATTCTTTTTCGAGAATCTATCGTTTTTGTATTGAAAATCACAGTCATGAAATTTAACACACATTGGATGTTTCAAATCATCGGTATTGTTTAAAAACTATAGTATTTTTTAATGTGAAGCTGTTTATGTATATCATATACAAATATTTTTTTTTTTAAATAGATATTTTTCGAAAAGTTTAAAGTACCTGCATTTTACGTGAGCATGCAAGGTGTTTTGTCAAGTTATTGGTCAGGGAGAGGCTCTGCAATCATGCTAGAAATAGGAGATGGTGTGACACATATAGTTCCTGTTTGTGAAGGTAAGATAACAACATATAATTTTTTACACTGTCGGACATTTCGGTTAGCTAAACTTTACAGACATGAAAACTCATGGTGACAAAACAATACACTGAATTACCGGCAAAATAGGACTTCTATATATCTTATATTTTATTTATTCAGTTGGTGGCTACATTATAACATGAAGAGGACAATTTTTAAATGCGATGACCCTGCAGATAGGATGGACTTCCTGAAGAAGAAGAAGAAAAAGAAGACTCCTCACATTTGTTCACATTTTGCGTTTCTGAAACATTAGGACAAACCATGACGACATTTATACATATATAAGATATATAGTTCATTGCCGAAACAAAATGCTATGGCATCTCGACATCTCGTGTATATATCACGACCAAGATATTCCGTTCATTGCTGTAGTACAAGGCCGACATATCTTGTTATCCGATAAAATATTTGATCACTACGAATTATAAAGATTCTCAGTAAATAAATAACAAATCTGAAAAAAGTATATCTGAGTTAAACAAAAGATTAAATGATAATATGTTACCTTTAATGATTACATGTATCTGGTAAGGTTATCGTTGTGTTCAAGGTACCGCACTTATGATTGGATGAAGATGGAAAATTAAATAGTGATAGCTTTTTGCAAATTTTAAGACGAAAAGGTCAGATGGTTTTTGTTTGAGCATCTTCGCTAGCCAAGGGTTAGGATCCACTTCCCTCCTCTCCGACCTTTGCGGATTGAGATAGAATTTCGGAGACACAAGGTAATGATTTTCATTGGTTGCAGTCGAAACTCACTGCATCCAATCAAAAAGCGCCTATAACATGATCACGTGTAAATGTAGAAAGTGTATGTAAACAATTGCAACGTGCTTATTGTGCAACAAGTCTTTACATCCCTAAACATACGACTATATTTAGTGACAATTTGAATGTTTTTAATCAACTAATAGAAGTTTCTGTGTATGTTTCTTGCACAAATGCATTAATGTCAACGTATATTTTCGTTTCCTGCTTTACCAAGTGTGTAGAATCTAGACGCTACCGTGTTTTTACCTCCAAATTGAAGAGTTCAAGTGCTACCATTGGTCAAGAATAATGTATTAGGAATGAGCGTGACTTTAATATACCCATAGATTGCGCAACATTGTTATCACAAATGTTGGCTTAATCTGCCAAGGGTGGAGAGGAGGGAAGTGGATCGTAACCCTTGGCTAGCGAAGATGTTGTTTGAGAGGCAAGTTAGAATCATTGCGTTCATGAGTAAAACAATTATATTCTTAAAAGTTGAGGAAACTTATCAGGGAATCAAAGATTTCCTCGGTCTTTTTTACTAATATTAGTATTATTTTCTTTTACAGGATATTGTATACAGCCTGCCGTTAAGAAATTAGATTTAGGAGGCAGAGACCTTACCTCCTATTTGCAGACTCTGCTGCATGAAAAAGGACACGGTTTTGTAACAACTGGTAACATATCAGCATAACATACCATTTTCATTTATCTTACCTTCTATACATTTCTAGGAATATGATTGGTTAAAAACGTCCGCGTGGAGACCGTGTATATTCCATATTAGGTTAGTAGGGAGGCGGCGCTTATTTCATACACGGTTAGTAGTGGTGTTACGTCCCTTTATAAAAACAAAACGATACTGAGAAAAAATCTTAAAGGTTTCAACAGACGAAGAAATTGATGATGAAGATTGAAATAAATTCATAAAACACATTTAAACCTAACAACTTGTTATTGTTGGCATCTGTTTTTGTAGGATCAATGGAAGTAGTTTCTTAATGCTAACGGTATTGAAGACTTGCTCATTTTGATAGGTCACTAGTCTAAATTCCACACGTTAAGATAGTCGGTAAGATAAATTCGTTACATAGTGTGCTAGTGACGTAATACGGTATATATGGGGGAAGTAAATTCCATATATACCGTATTAGGTCACTAGCACACTTTGTAACTAATAATATTTATCAATTCTCTTTTTACAGATATAGCGAAAAATGCTTCAAATGGATCTATATCTTAAATTGATTATAAGTGTATGTTCAAAAATTACATTTAGACATAAACAGATGATTTAAATTCTTACATTCTGAACCCTTCATTTCTGGTAATCAACTGAATATGTAGTGTGTTTCTCTGTCGTAAATACAAAATTTAATCCTTGTATCTATGATGAGTTTTTTTTGCCATAAAAGCGGGAGGTTTGGCATGCCACAAAACCCACCATTTTTTTCTTACAATGTCCTGTACCAAGTCAGGAAAATGGCCATTGTTATATTATAGTTCGTTTCTGTGTGTGTTACATTTTAATGTTGTGTTTTTGTTGTGTCGTTGTTCTCCTCTTATATTTGATGCGTTTCCCTCAGTTTTAGTTTGTAACCCGGATTTGTTTTTATCTCTATCGATTTATGAGTTTCGAACAGCGGTATACTACTGTTGCCTTTTTATTTTACAACCACTGGGTCGATACCACTGCTGGTGGAGTTTTAATTACCTGAGGGTATCACCAGCCCAGAAGTCAGCACTTCTGTGCTGACATGAATTATCATTGATATAATCATATTTATAAATTAACTGTTTACAAAACTTTTGAATTTTTGAAATACTAAGGCAATTCTACCTCAAGAATAGATTATCTTAGCTGTATTTGGCAAAACTTTTAGGAATGTTGGTCCTCAATGCTCTTCAGCTTCGTACTTTATTTGGCTTTTTTAACTGTTTTGGATTCGATAGTCACTGATGAGTCATTTGTAGACGAAACGCTCGTCTTGCGCAAATACAAAATTTAATCCTGGTATCTATGATGAGTTTATCAAACAGATATAAAGATGAACCCACGCTTTTTTCATCTTACTGCAACCAAGGAAGCAATTGGACCAAGAGATTCATCTTGTTAAGTCACTACTTGACACATACGGACGGACGAATGATTGTGTTGACCGTTATGCAATATATGTATATATATAAATGAATACAAACATGTTTCACTTATCATTACATCAATGTATAATGATGTCCTTTTTTTCCTCGTGTATTACACCAACGAATGCGCTGGCTCATGATATACACTTTTAATGATAAACAGAACATAAGCCACTAGTGGAACATGAACGACTAGCCCTTTCGAAGATTACCTCTGGTTTTATTGTCTTGATATTTTCGTATTTTAAAAATGTTTCCTATTATCAATTCTTTGTATTAACACGTTGAATATATAGTTTCTTTAAATTGTGAAAGAAAAAACCAAAAGAACTGTTAGAAGACTTACATTCTAAGTCACTTCGTCTTTTGCATCACTGATGAATCTTATGTAGACGAAACGCGCGTCTGGCGTCTTAAATTATAATCCTGGTACTTTTGATAACTATTGCAACTACAGAAAAAAAATTGACTTCTCATTTCATTTCTATTTTGTTTTGGAAAATCATACATTATTAAACTGGATCAATGATTTGAATGAAAAGTTCTCGGAAACTAACACAACAGAAAACTGTCTGTTTAATTTACAACATGTGTGTTACGGACGTTTTTGTTTTTTTCTGTGCTTAAAATGTCTCACAAAAATATTTATTGCAGGTGATTTTGAAATTGTTAGAGAAATGAAGGAAAAAATGTGTTATGTTGCGGAAGATTATTCAAAAGAAATTACTTTGTCGGAATGTTTTCCTGATGTTGATAAGTCATATGAACTTCCAGATGGAAACTTGATTACTATTGGTAAGGAGAGGTTCCAGTGTCCAGAGATTTTGTTTCGACCTTCGAAAGGTAAGGTAAATATATGAAAATAAGGATATCAACAGTTCACGAACTGAAGACTCATATAAGTTATCCTTCTTGTCCCGAAAAGATAAACCAGCCCCGAAAAGATAAACCAGCCCCGAAAAGATAAACCAGCCCTGAACAGATAAACCACAATATCAAATTTATACTAGCATTACCGGAAAAATTTGTTATAACTGACACGAACCTAACCAAAAAGCAGTAATAAAATCGTGATATTCGTCGTGTTTTCAATTCAAGTAAAACTACGATAATTAATCGCTTTCAATAATGTCAGATTCGATGAAAATAAGACGGAATGGTAATCGTTGTCAAGAAAAGTGGAACATTTCCGTGGATACCGATCCTCCATTGCGTTCACCTACTAACACTCAGGTTGTGAGTTCAAATCCCGAACGTTGCAGGTGCCCTCGATTTTAATCTAAATTGACTAGGATTATCATTTTTCTGATTGATTAACGAATGTCGGTTGCCCTCCGGCTTCTTCATTAATTAAGACTGACCGACAATTTTTGGGACGTATACCTACGTTGAAGAAACAATAAGAGTTAACCAATCTATATTTTCGATATAAAAATTCATTCTATATATATGTATTCGGTATGAATCTGCAGGATCTTTACCTTGCTTTATATGGTGAAAGTATTAAAGTCACATATAACAATTTTAATATGTTGAAGCATTCCTTTGTTATCAAGTATATTGTTTATTTTCAACCCCATTTTCACCTTGCATAACTTTAGTTCTGATTCCTTAAATACACTTGAACAACTTTTTGACAATTTTTTAACATGAATTAAAGCTGAATATTGAAACTTTAATTCGGTAGTAGCAGCATATGTGGTAAATTGATGTAAAAGACCCTCAGGATAATTCCAGATATACTATAATACTCAAATACAACGATTCAATCTAAAGTTGGTCAGTATGTATGCATCGTTTGGGTGTACATTGATTCCGAATGTGCTCGGAAAAAGCTATAAAAAGAATAAGAACCATTTCTTTAACAGATTCGGCAAATAACAAAACATATGTATTTAGTACCTTTTTTTTCTCTATGTCGTGCAATAAAGCAGACATAAAACATTACGATAATACAATTTCACGCGCTGGTCTGTCTATTTATATTCGATCTATTAAACCATCAAAAATTGACTATGGTCTTTACCCCAATAAACCAAGTAACGTTTAATCCTGAAATGTGCACGAACTGTTCAAATCTTTTATTCTGCTTTTATATATATGCATTGGTGATTGTTTTCCTATTGAGCTTTTAGAATTTTTTCAAATGAAATAGTTTGAGTTAATTCAGTAGCTATGCATTTGGCAGCTTATACCCCTTTTAATATCAACAGAAAGAATATAAGATATTGTAATGCCGACCTTCCCCCTTTTTATAGTATGTCTGTATAGTTTCTTGAAATTATTGAGGATAAACGATAGATGCTAGTGAGATGTCCAATGTTGAAAATAATATAAGACTTGTAATTTGTTATTTTGGCTGTTGTTTCAAGGATACGACATATTTGTGTATGTTAGTATGTTAGGAAGTTTTATTTCACGTACTGATTCCATATTTTCGCGGTAGTTACCTTATTAGACTATAAACCCAAATAAAACTCTTCTTATGATCTACTAATAAATTTTAAGTCAAAACCCATCTTTATTGATGAAGATCAATCCATGTTTACAAATAATATCAACATTACGGGAATTTCCCTTGTGTGATCCATGGTTGCCGATTGGTAAACAATATGTAACAAGCTCTGCCATTGGTCAGTCGGAAGTATAAAAGCAAAAGCAACAACAGAACCGACGGAGTGTTGGGTTGACAAAGAATTGGAAGTGACAAAATTTAATAGAAGCTGGAATATGTCTGGGAAATACAGACAAGCGTGGAAAGTTAACTTTGTTTTAGTTTAAGTACGGGTGCAGGTGACGGTGCCAAGTACGGGTGACGGTGACGATGCTAAATACGGTTGCCGGTGATCGTTCTAAATACGGTTGCCGGTGCTATATAAGTGTTATTGAAGGTGCACATTAAGTGTTCTGTTGGCGGTTCCGACATGATTAATATGTCATTTAATTTGTTATACTACGTTGTTGTCGTCTATAATGTAGTAGGGTTGTAATATCCTTAAATTGAGATTATAGAAAGATTCTAAATAAGAGACAACCTTGTTACTTGACTGTTGAATTATAGACTAGTTTTGTTTGTATATGTAAGACCAACCATTACCGGGGACCTGGCCAGACCAGTAAGAGAGCTCCGTCGTGGATTATTTTTGATATTAATAAAATATTAAACTTTATTTTATTCAGATATTTTATTTCACAACTGAGAATATACATATATATATATATAAACACAAGTATACGATTTCCCTTTCTGTAACGTGTTTTGGTCCGACAGTAAACAGTGGACGTCGAACCTTACACTTTATAGATCATTTTACTCTCTTTTTCTTTGTGACCCTGTGTTCTCTGGTGGCCGACTCTAGCACCAGGGAGGCAGCGTTTCAATATATCAATCCTTTTCAGAAAATTAAAGTGAAAAATATGTGAGACAAAAACAATATGATATCATGACAGTATATTTTCAGCTTAAATTACAGCAAATTCTTATCAAAAGTAAGTGTATTATAAAGATGAAATCGAGAGTTGCGTAAACAAACGGGACATTCAAACTCCTTAACCGAAAAAAAAAACATGCAAAAAAAAAAAGAAAAAAAAACAGTATACAAAACACAATACAAAAAAACTAAAGACTGAGCAACACGAACCCCACCAAACAACAAAGTCAGGTGCTCTGGAAAGGTAAGCAAATTCGTCTCCTTATGTGACAACCGTCATGTTCCACATGTAAGACAAAACTCGGTAGTATGTGGCGTTTATTATAAGGTTCACATTTTGTTCTGTTTTAGATATAGGATCTGATGGTATTCACAAGTTATTGTACGACTCAATAATGGCAGTTGACATGGACTGGAGAAAACATTATTTTACAAATATAGTTATATCTGGTGGTTGTACAATGTTCTCAGGTAATGATAAGTCAGTTACATACTTCTTTTGTATATATTTACAGCATTACCAGTCCTAACTCAAAAAGCTTGACATATTGTTAGGTATATGTCCATAATTGAAGGACATTGTTATTAACAATTTCAATGTTTTGCTCGTTTTGTTTGTTCGACATCTCGTTAATATTTAAAATGCATCTCTATTTAATCATACGAAATCAAAGTTAATTAAAGAGATAAATCAGGAAATTTTAATCAGATTACATGCAATAAATATATCAATAATATTATTAATTGTTATTCCAATATTTGCCACTGGACGTTTAGCAACCAAGAATCAACCAATTAATTGTTATTTCTTTAGTCTCAATATTTACAATTGTAGACTTTAAAACTCAAACGTTTTGTTCATTCATTATCTAGTAATAGTTTTGCTCCGACCTTCCTTCTGTTTAAATTCCTTATTTGGATGTTTTTTTTTCGAAATATTCTAAAGACGTCTCCTTTCTATAATATATTGTGTAATTTGTTTGTGGAGTATTTATTTTCTCTGTTTGACTCATGATTACTAGTCCTTCTTATACAAAATAGCCATCAACATGTAATACTATACAATTATATGTACAAGTTACTATCAAATGTGATTGATATTTGAGAATGAACTCACTGAAATAATCAAAAGAAGAGGGATAACTATACAAATTTGTGATACAAGCTTTATATTTACGAAACCATTTAAAGCTGACTATACGGTGTGGGGTTTTTCTCATTTTTTAGGGCCGTACTTGAGGGCTTATTATTGCTCATAATCATTTCAGTTAATTTTGATCGATAGTTGACAATCATTTCCCCCCCTTTTTTTTTTAGAGTATACAAACATGACAAAACAGTAAACATTGCAAATCTTAACCGTCATCAATGCTACCTGAAAATGTTATATGCCAAAACCAATTCTTACATACCAATATTAAAAGCAGGGTTAAAAAAAATAAAGTTGTTCCTTAATCGGTTATCACAAATTCATAGAAATTCAATGTATTGTAGGATTTGCAAAGCGTCTGCAGAACGAATTTGCAGCTTTGATTCCAGAACGCATGCTAACAAACGTAGTTGCTCCCCCAGAAAGAAAAGATTCCTCGTGGATTGGTGGATCAATTCTTGCTTCGTTATCAACATTTCAATCCATGTGGATCACAAATGCAGAGTACGAGGAATATGGACCCGATATTGTTAACAGAAATTGTTATTAAATCATCTTAAGTAAGTCTATTATCTGGTTTTTGATTTTGCTTTTATTTTATGAGTTTCAATTCGAAAGAGTCTGAGTCAGATCCGTAGACCTTGCCCAGAATTCTAGTATTAGAAACGCAATATCAGTATAACCTATCAAACTTTAAGAAAAAAGAATTGATAGAATAATCCTTATTATACATTGGCTACAGGTATAGGGGAGGGCTGAGCTCTCACAAAACATGTTTAACACCGCCGCATTTTTGCGCTTATCCCAAGTCAGGAGCATCTGGCCTTTGTTAGTCTTGCATGCTTTTTTTAAATTTTAGTTCATTTATATGTTTTGGAGTTAAGTGTGACGTCCATTTTCACTGAACTAGTACACAATTTTATTTAGGGGCCAGCTGAGGACCACCTCCGAGTGCGGGATTTTCTCGCTGCGTTGAAGACCCATTGGTGGCCTTCGGCTGTTCTTTAGTCGGGTTGTTGTCTCTTTGACATATTCCCCATTTCCATTCTCAATTTTAATGTTGACCATAATATTGCAGACTAACTACAGTCATCTACACGTTACTAGGTTTTAGATAGGACTCCTTGAATATGTTATACCTTACATCAAGCCATCTGCTATTCTGTCGATACGTTAATGACAACAGATTTCATATTTTCTAATCTTTGTATTTCAATGTATTTAATGTAGCATTGTTATTCGAATTTTGAAACCAAAACAAGAAGAAAATTCGTCTGTTTACTCTGTAGAATTGTGTGCAAAGTGTATAAAATACGTTGCAATTGTTAATTGGAACATATTTGTTGTTACTGTGGTGCTATGACATCTACACAATATATACAAAAAATTCCGAGCATATTTTTCTGTTATCAGTTTGGTATACAGTTATATTATTTGTCTGTCTTTTTCTATTTTAGCCATGGCGTTGTCAGTTTATTTTCGATCTATGAGTTTGACTGTCCCGTTGGTATCGTTCGCCCCTCTTTTATACCTTATCAGGTTACAAATGTACGCAGAAGCTATTAAACCAAGATTATTGTGTTCGTTGATTATCCTTTAAGAAAAAAAATCCGATTTAACCAAAAAGTACACTCTGTATAAATTGAGCGTAAATTAAATAAGACATTTAAATATTTAGTATGAAATAAGGTATTTACTATGATATTTATAACCGCAGACTTTATATTGGTAAACAAAAGCTCTAAATGATTATGTAGGTCAAAATTGTATTATACATTAGAATATGCTGCTAAACAAGAATACATAAATGTGTATGAAAGTTGAAAACACAAGAATAACCCTAGTCTACAAAATAGCAGTAAAACATGATTACGCCTCCGGTTTTTGATTTGCTTCGAGATTGTTAGTTTTTGGTTTCCTTTGTTCTGTTTTGTCATTGTCGTTTTAGCTTTAGCCCTTGTTTTTTTGAGCTTGGAATTGTCAGTTGTTATTAAAATTATTATTATTTTTAGTATATTTTTATAATTGCTATAGTGAATTTGAAGTTTACAAAAATGCGTACTATGAAATGCCTTATAAATTAAGTCGCTTCATTCATAGGCAATTGATTTCATCAGTATTAGAAACATATAGTCATTTCATATTTTGGTTTTTAAGTAAGGATAAGAGGTTGATCAAAGTAAAAACTGTTTATCAACAGCGTATGTTCGAATCTCGGAAACTTGAAAAAAAAGTTTCAAGTAAATATGTTCTGACATGGACGATTTTTCTTCAAGACCAAAAGTAACAATATATAATGAAATGAAACGTATAACGGGTTTTTTGTCTTACCAAATAAGAAAGACTATCGATGAGTTGTGGCAATAACTGGAATAAGTCAACACATATGGTCATCAATCGACATATATATATATATTCCGGTTGTATATATTTAACATCAAGTTGAAATAAATTGGACTGTTTCTTAATTTCTGAAAGCAAGGCGCTTTCTACTGTAGCACAGTGCGTTGTAATTCTTGAAACATTGCCTTCATCGTAAGTGGTACTATAAATCAATACCATAAGTAAAAAATATGTCATATTATATAAAAAGCGAATCATATGTTTGTCTAAACAACTTTTGTTCAACAAGTGGATACACATCCAAAGTTAAATATGAAACTTGTACTGAATAGTTACTGTATTTTACACATTATGCCAAAGGTTACTTTGGAGCTGGTATACCCCTTTTCTATAAATAAGCAAAGGAATCTATAAAATCAGTTAATTATCACATTCTGTTTGATGGTTTAAATACATCCTTTCAATCTTCCTTTACAAATCTAAAACAGACAGATTTATAATTCTGGCACTAGAAATCTAGAATCTGGTTAGACTGTTTGTTTATATATTTATGACCATCACAAAAGAGATTTTGCGACTGCCTTTTTTTTGGCTGTATCAGAGTGCATGATGTACTGTACCATAGAGATGAAATACAAAGCAGACCAGCCTTTAAGTACGACAAAACCTGCGCTGTTTCATCTACATCATTATTATGTGACTTTCTGCATCCGAATATGTAAAAACGTACTTAAATAGGATACATTAATATTCAAAGTTGCATATTTGAGTACAATGCTTAATGAACAAGAGAACGATTATGTATGTAGTACTAAATTTATTAGTATATGGTGCATCACATGCACAGGCTGTTATGATCATATCTATCCAGAAACCACTACACTATACGAAAACATGATCATTGTGTATTAGTCTCCAGCCTTAAATCTTTTTAAAAAAATTAATTTATTTGATTATAAATGTTCGTACAAAAAAAAGATTGATTAAGAAGGAATGTGAGACATTGGTGTATCTGTATTGAATATAAGTATAAAATAAAAATACATATTAAACAAGAGAAAAATATTGCCCTTTATGTTATTGTAAAGTTTTTAATTCTATAATTACAGTGTGTAGGTGTAAAGGTTTCATTTCAAAACAGTGTTTACCAAGTTTACACTGAAATAACAATGTCTATCAGAAAACAAGAATACTGAAGTGAAAGTAGTAAGCTGTAATTTGCATTTACGTACTCATTCGAAAAAAGAAAATTAAATCAATTCCGATCGCTGAAATATTTACATTTTATCAATCTTTCTGTCTAATATTTATCTTGTGTGTCGACGGCTATCTATGACCCTGCAATCAACAATGGTGTGACGTTCAGTCATTCGAATGGTCAAATGTGCGAAGGTTTTCTGTCGTCATATGTCCAGTTGTTATGACTTTTGAAAAGATATGTGCTACTATCATTTACTATCATAACTACTCACCTGTAACCGGGTGTATACCGTGGGAAATATTATCCCCGTTCATAAAATTATATTCAACACAATTATCAGTTTATTACAATCATTGTCAATTTTAGAATGCAAGCTTCCTTATACATGTTATAGCTTTACCATACATGCATTTCTTCAATTAATTGTCTAAACTAATTAAAAAAAACAATATACAGTTGCCGATAAAATATAGTGAGTATCTTTTGACTTATCTTTAAACATTACATTGTGATAAACACCTCGTAAGTGATTTATAAAAAATGTGGATCAATAATACTATTTGTCTATCATGTCTATGACGTGATTCAAACAAATTTTTTTTTTTTTTAATAATAATGACAGGCTAATTGTGTCACAAATTGTCTTGTGATACATGCGATTTATAGATAGTTTAAATCAACTAATCTCAACATGTTAACTGTACTCATGTCATGCACTTTCACTACGCCTTTACATAATATCATTATTCATATCAATTAAAATTACCATCAATTTATAATAGGATTCGTTTTGCTGACACTTTTTCTTTCTATCACGTGTTTTGTCTTTTTCGTGTTTTCTTTTTGGTATAAAGCAAAAGAAAAACTAAATATATGTTAGTCCTACCTGAATGGAAAGGACAATTTATTTGTTGAATTTTCAAGACGAAAAAGGAGTGACATTTGAATAATCAGTTCAACCCTACAGTATAATTTATTTTTCATCTAAAAAATCGGTATTGACCTTTTCTTTGCTGTAATGAAAAATTACTCAACCTACAGTAGTTGACCGAGTGTCTCTGTGAATAAGTCACCGAATAACCAGGTAAATTATCAAGTGAATTCAAATTCATAAGAAGTTAGTTAGTTTTACAATTCATATTCAATACAAACATTTTTGGAAAATATATAGTCACATGATTACGGAAAATGTACAGTGTTGATCGGTTTTGTTTCTAAGTATTAGAACTTTATGATCATTGAACTTAATCTTTTGTAAAGAACCGTTAATCAGTGGTCCTAATGAATTCGTACGTCTTATTGATTGTTCTTGCAACCAGCTCAAACTTGAATTAAATATTGGTCAGTCTTGAAGTCGTCATAAGTAGTAAATTTCAACATTCTGATTGAGCTGTCGTACGATAAATTATACAAATATGAGGTTTGAGCCGACTAATGTACTTTCGTTTGCATTAAGCATGCTGTTTCAATTTTATAACCACGTGTTCAACCACGTGTTTAGATCTATGTAATGCATACATGATGATATTTAACAAAATGTTCGTGTATCTAAAAATAGAAGGTAATTAGCTATTCATGATCATTTGTATCTTTTTATATCTTTTTATATTATTTACAAGTTTGGTGTTTTTAGTTCTAATCAATTTGTTAATTTCGTATGTGTTCAAAAATTCATTTCTGAAAACTGCAAAAGCTTCTATACCTTTTTGTTGATAATTTGATATATGAGTACTTTTATCAATTGAATAGATCATGATAGTTTAGAAAAGATTTGTATCATAATACAGAGGATCACCTTTATAGCCCAATACTTAAGTTTTTATTTTAGATATATGTGACCCAATTTGGTTTTGCTTACAAGCACATAAACTTTGTTAACAAATTCAGGAAAGTATTGACATTTAAGAATGAAATGTTCGTAGTCTTCAGTCAATTAACACAGGACACATATACTTGTATTTTGTATGTTCTACTTTTGTAGTAATTGTTCACATGGGAGAATCTACATTT